GATTCATGAATTTATAAATTATAATTGCACCTATAATTTGAAATATATATATATATATATATATATATATATATATATATATATATATATATATATTATGAAAGGCTCAAACAGTAATATTCCATGGTTGTAATTCATTGTATCCCATAAATATAGCACACCTTACAACTATATTTCTACATACATACACACACGCACACACACATATATATATTTATATAGACCTCTAATATTCTCTTTCTTTCTCTCTCTCCACACACACACACACACACACACACATATATATATATATATATATCGAATTCCAGTCGAATCCATTACATTCACTTACGTGCTTGGGAAAGGTGTGTATCCTCTTCTTCTCCCTCCAGCTATGAGTAAATAACAGGACAGTCTGGGTGCTATAGCCTTGGTCTAGGAGAACAACTACTCAAAACCCGGAGTGGATCCCCTAAGGTGGATGGACGGCACTTTGTGCTACCTTCCGGCATCTCCTGCAGCCGCGCTGGTACCAAACTCTATTGGTTTATCCTCTCCTTTGGCAAGGCCGAGGTGGGGGGGGGCACTAGACGTCTGGGAAGACCTAGTTCTCCATATATCCCACCCAGGCACCGCGCTACTCTATCGTCTCTCGAGACAGACGGATGCCGACGACGACGACGATATATGAAAATATATATATATATATATATATATATATATATATATATATATATAAAAATATAGTCTTAAGGCGTGCTATATTTATGGAATAAAGTGCTCAATATCAGAGATAGAGCGTGTAAAATATAAAAGTGAACATGTGGCCTGACGATTGCATATAGCATGAAACAGACTTTCGCCTCTAAGTGTTGACTTCTATGTTCACTTTTATATATATATATATATATATATATATATATATATATATCATTTCACCTCAAGCACGGCAGTAGTGCTACTAGTACTCAAGTTTACAGATAATGAGGGTAAGAGGAAAAACTGGGATCTAGTGGAAATTAAAATTTTTGAAGATTGTATTTATCATGGAGTTTTATGGGCGGGAAATACAAAAAATATTGTTGAAGTATAAGTAATGGTTACACTTAATTAATTCAATAGTATAAGGGTAGTACATAAATGTCAATCCACAAGCACGCTTAAATTCACATAGTCTGGGTCCCAAGGAAAAAAGCTAATGAGAGCAGTAGCCGTAAAAGTATTTCTAGAAATGACAGAGGGAATCCACATCATGTCGGTGACATAATGGCTGATTTCTAGATGTCAAATCAAAATCGATTACATTGCAGATCCTTCTTTGGATCTTGTCAAGAACCTTCAAGATGAGTAGCAGGGGCACCTAACCAGATATGGCAACAGTATTCAATGCTTGGAGGAATGGTAGATTTGTAAATGCGCAAGACGGACTCTGACGGGGAAAAGAAAACTTCTAGCACGACACAGTGACCGAACAATCCTTGCAATAGATGCATCTATTGATTCGATGTAGACGTTCCACTTCTAGTCTGTTGTGTTGCACTCCATGAGTCTAGCATCAGCCATGCTGATGGTGGACTGGAAAGTTTCTCTTTGTTGTTTAAATGAGATCAGTTTCGTTTTGGAGGCATGAAAATTTACAAGCAATTTCCTGACGATAATGAAAGCTGTGTCGTACGAACACGCTTCTAAATCATTTAACCTTAATGCAGATCTCCCCCTGGACTATACAATTAGATGTACTTTGTATCACCATAAACATTTTCGATGTCCTCAGTCCCCAGCTATGTGTTCATGCTGATGTAACAATTATAATAATAATAGTAAGTTCGAATTGTGTGACAAAGTAAAATTGGTAAATATTCTAGAATACAAACCCCACGTGTTCAAATCGAAACTATTTACATTTAATCAACCGGAAAAAGAATTTCTGCCTTTCACCAGTGCAACTCATGCTAGCCACCCAGGAGAGCAACTCTTGGAGCCTTCTTGGGCTCATGTTTTCCATTGACATAATGGAGAGTAATTATATTAATTCATTTGCTAGGACTGCTCCTAGGAAAGTTCGTTTACCATGTCTTGCAAGATATTTTGTTTCGTTGAAATTCCATCTTGCACATTCGTCCGTGCAAAGAATATTGCTGCCATATCTGGTCTGGTGCTCCAACTATATATCTTGACATTATTGACAAAATTCAAAGAAGCATATGTAATATTTTCGGTCCTGTCCTGGCACCTCGACTTCAGAAACATTACACCACCGTGACCTGGCTTCTTTGGTGTGGCTTCCTCTGTCTTTTCTATAATTATTTTCATGGAAATTGTTCTTATGAACTTTCCATCTTGGTACGTCGACCGCATAAATCGAAGCGTATTACTAGATTGGCATTTAGGTCTCACTGTTTTAATGTTGAAATACATAGATGCAACCGTAAGTACACGCTTCCCAACCTACAATTGACATTGTCTGTCTTTTTGTAGACCCTTGCGTTTTAGTGGCATTACTGCCGTGTTTGGAATCAAATGATTTAAAAAAAAAATCATAATCAAAAACTGGTGGGTGGCTTGGCTGTTCAATTCGAAAATACTGAAATGTTAGGACGTCATCCATCAAAACTCGGCTAGAGAACCGTTTACATAAATAGACAGGCTGAGGAAGAGTGTTGCAAATATGTATCTAGACAGACATATGTAGAGATATTACTGATAAAATATTTTCAATATGATACAGCAAGTGAATGAAAAACTTTTTCTAGCACACTCACTCATATATATATATATATATATATATATATATATATATATATATATTTTCTGTGGTTTGGGTTTGACGTTGGACGAGTATTCTTTCGTCTATAGTTGCTGGCAGCTGTTGTCGAGATCAACTTAGGCTTTTAAAACATCAGTCTACATCGCTCCCTGTGCCATCTTGCACGCCGATCATTTTTCTGATGGAGGCCTTATTCGCTAAACTTCTCAAATCACATTTAGGCAGTTGCGCCATTTGCTTTCAGGTCACCGTTTCCCAACCGCTACAGAGAAAATAATATAGGGAAATAATATATAAGTAAAAAATAAAGAAAAGAAAGTAATAAGAAAAATCATTTCTTATGTTATAAAAAAAAACGACGCCAGGCAACTTCAAAGAAATATCAAACACACTTAGTGTTACTTACCCGAATCTATGCCCTTTCTACGCGTAACGAATTAGAAAATAGATAAAAAGCATAACAAAAAGTAAGATTTGAAATGAAACAAATAAAATACAATATGTTTGATTGTTTCATCTTGTTAGAATGAAACAAAGCAGTCGTTTTTCCTAGCTTTCTTTTTTTTTTTTTTAGCTTATATCGCAATGCTCATTTGATTGTGCTACCTAGCAATCCGTCTTATCAGCCTTGATAAACTCGGAGGAAATGACACAACAGGCGAATTCTTTCTTACTTTCCTGTTTGCAGAAAACAAATGGGTGGCCGGTTTGTTTGAAAAGTTAAAGCGTGCCAGATGGAAGCCGATAAAGAAGAAACGAAACGAAACCAACTCGAATAAATTACAAAAGAACTGTCAATAAAATTCCGATTTTTGCATGAAAGGTGCGTTTCAGATATAATCTCTTTTAGTGGTAATAAATATATTTTTTTGATATTTTAGAAACACTTTCTGCAGTTCTATCTAACTGTCAGAGATGGGATATTCTCATTATCTATACGATATTTATCGCATTGAATTCAACATTAAAGTTATCGGATTCTGAAATTTATAAATACTAAACATTTCAAATGTATGGATCAGTTCTGACAAATTTAGTATCGGAGATGAGAAAATTGAACAGTGAATATGCCGTGTTAGGCGTAGTCTCTACCAATGCAGCACATTGCTACAAAAACTAATATCAACATAAGAATATGTCATGATTGAAATAGAGTATTACGTATGAATGTCATGTATGACACAAAGCCCGTTCAGAAATGTCTGAACTGTCAGTATTATACGATCGTTTTCTCTGATCAAAATTAAATCCAATGTCAATAGTTATCAACTGTGTTTTTAATTTTATGTTATTTTACTGTTCTTTCTCCTTAATAAGGTTTTCCTTTTTATTATTGATATAATTGAATAACCCACCACCACCACGAGTGGCGGCACTATAGGGGGTAACCACTTATAATTATCCGTTAGGACAGAGGACAGGAGAGTTGAGCTGGGATCTGCGAGACTAGTAGCCTTCTGATAACAGCACGCACACAATTGTACTAACTTGCGACGACCGTGCGCATAACTATTACTTGCTTGTTGTACTGGTTTCTATAATAAACCTGTTACTATTTATCCACCGTGTTTGTCCATTCCATATTCATATTAACACGGAAAATAATAGTTCCTTTAAAGATACACACTATCTGAAATGATCTGCATATATATATATATATATATATATGTGTGTGTGTGTGTGTATGTTTCTTTGTAATATTTATTTTGTTATCAGTTATCTTTTGTTAATTTCCCTCTGAAAGTTCTCCACTGCCTTAACCGGGTATTGAACTCACACACTTTGAGTCCTGTCACTGGATCTAACCAACGCTGTTATCCACTGTGCCATGTGTCCTTGAAGACTACTGACATTAAACATTGCACATAGAACTAGAACAGTTTACCCCAGTGAGCGTAATAAAGGGTTCAGTTCGACATTCCAACCACCTGAAGAAGGCCGGAGCGTACAAAGGCCGAAACGTTGTAATAAATATGGTGACAAAGATGACGACAATAGTCCGAATAATGTAAATAATGTACATAATACCTTGTCTCAGAAATATAGACAAAATAAATATTTTTAGTTTTTAACTTTTTAGGAGCGGGGGAGGTTATAATGTCCTTTAGTGATGCAAGTCTTATTAATTAATTCGCAATTGGATGAGAAAAGGCGTATTCATAATTTCTTTTTCAAAGGGAATTGGTGCATAGTTCAATAAAACAATTAACAAATTCCGATTCGTTATGCATTACACACCACCCGCACTTCCAAGCTTACAGCACCTGGTATTCTCAAGTGGTCACCCATCTAGGTACTGACCAGGCTTGATGTTGCTTAATTTCAATGATCGGACGGAAACCGGTGTTTCGACGTGATGTGACCGTAAACTAAAAAAAGGTTAGGGATGAAGTCCCTTCAGCAAAACCGATGACAGCTATTGGAGTGAGAAAAATTATTTCCAGAAAAATTGCTTTCAGAAAAAAAGATTTTATATATTTCAAACGGGAGTAGCAATAGCTTAAAGGATTCTTGGCGTTTCCTTATAAGAAAACAGCTACACGCAAGCCACTAGTGACCCGCTGAAGGCCGCCGATGGGAACGCCAGCGGCCATTTGGTGGCAGCCACCGGTGGGCCTCTAGCGGCCCACAGTGCTTACATTGCCGAGTCGAACACGCCGATGGCCAGACAACGGGCCACCAGCGGTAAACGCTAGTGACGTGCCACTCAGTGGCAGATTGGTAGCTTGCGTGTAGGAATATTACTATTAACAACAATACCATTACTGTGATTAGAGTGGCGATAGTGTCTACCCTGTATCAATGATAATAATGCAAACTATGGATTTAATAAATACTGAACACTTCAAATATCTCTGGGTGGGGATAAATTATGTCAAATTTGGTATCGGAGATTTGGGAATTGGTAACAGGACAGGTTGCACAGGGATCTTTTTTAGTAACACTCCAAGATGCTATAAAACCCAAATTATTAACCTGGCAACTTAAGTGATCTACTTAAATGGCCTCATCATTCCTGGCCTATTATCTATCGGTCGTAACAGCAAAATTGTACAGATCGCGTAACAGCAAAATCCTGTCTGGCCTCTTATATATCAGGTATAACAGCAAAATTGTCCAGATGGCGTTACAGCAAAATCATGTCTATCGTCTTAAAAATCAGGTATATCAGCAAATTTGTCCAGATGACGTAACAGCAAAACCATGCCTGGCTTCTTATATATCAGGTATAACAGCAAATTTGTCCAGATGGCGTAACAGCAAAATCATGTCTGGCCTCTTATATATCAGGTGTAACAGCAAAATTGTCCAGATGGTGGAAAAGCAAAATCCTGTCTGGCCTCTTATATATCAGGTATAACAGCAAAATTGTCCAGATGGCGTTACAGCAAAATCATGTCTGTCTTTTTATAAATCAGGTATAACAGCAAATCTGTCCAGATGACGTAACAGCAAAATCATGCCTGGCTTCTTATATATCAGGTATAACAGCAAATTTGTCCAGATGGCGTAACAGCAAAATCATGTCTGGCCTCTTATATATCAGGTGTAACAGCAAAATTTTCCAGATGGCGTTACAGCAAAATCATGTCTGGCCTCTTATATATCAGGTATAACAGCAAAATTGTCCAGATGGCGTTACAGCAAAATCATGTCTGGCCTCTTATATATCAGGTATAACAGCAAAATTGTCCACATGGCGTAACAGCAAAATCATGCCTGGCCTCATATATCAGATGTAACAGCAAAATTGTCAAATTGTTAGATTAAGCTTTGCAACTTTGTATCTTAGTAGTGATTAATGATATCTCACTGAAATTCTCCGAGTTTTTTATAACACTATTCGAATCTACTTTGTACAAAAAGAATACATTTACCTCTAAGTTTAATGATGATCCCTCTCGCTGTTGTGACTTCCTGAACCAGTTTTCCTCTCTACTCTTCCCTCTTTATAACTTATTCGCCGTTCTCTTGATGGTTTTTGAATGGATTTTGAAGATGGAAGCCAGTGTATGAATATTCGTACCGTAACTGAAAGCCCGAATGATTTTTTTCGTCTCACCATTGCTCAGTTGGGAAGGCATGGTGGGGATGACATGAAACAATTTTAACCTGTTCTATTTCAAGCTGAATAACTCAAAGGATTTTTCAGTGACTCTTGCGATAAATCGTGTTAAGATAGCTAAACGGCTTATCTGAAAACCTGGTAAAAGAAACTCAATTAGTCTAGTATCATTCAACGGTCAACTCGTTTAGAAAGGTCTAAATTAATGATACTCAACGAGAGTTGTTAGGCCCAACGGTGGACCAGAGAATTATTTTCAATGGACCTGTAGCCACCATTAACCAGAATTTATATTTTCTACTACATTCTGCTTTTGTAAATAAAAATTTATTTCCCGTTACATGGAATTTCAAATTATGCTAAGGCAGGCGTCCATATAATTTTGAAACACCGGTTCACGTACGATCACCGAAGTTAAGTAACGTCGAGCCTTATCAGTACCTAGCTTTATGAATAATCAAGAGTGGCCTCCCCTTGTTTTGCTACTATCCCCTTTTTAGAGAGCTATTACTGTTTACTGGGGCTATAAAAAGACACTATACGCATATTCTAACCTTAATAAAGCTTTCTTAAAGCCTACACCTGTGTATTTTTGTCATTATACCTAGATGGCTGACCGCTTGGGAATACCAGGTGCTGTAACCTTGGGTGTCCGGGTGGTGTAATAGATAATGGCTCGCAATTGTTAAAAAGAGCGTCAAATTTCAATTACAATCGGGATTGTTATATTTACCTACGAGTAAATAGACTTGGGAACGGTATAAATCCACGTCTTAACCGCGAGGTAGGTGGGGAGAATTAGTAAGACTTGTATGACTAAAGTATTATTGTATAAAAAAATCAGACTTTAAATAACCTTCAAATCCGTAAAAAAAAAACGAATCAATCAATTTCAAGTCTACGGTCGACGATTATCTGTCGTACGTATTCTAAATCTGTATTTCTTTCTCTCTTACTGTGTGCCCTTAAACCAACCTCATTTAGTAACCCTTTACCTCGGGTGCTTGTTAGGTCTTTTATCTAAGATCCAAAATAATTAATCTGCAACAAACAGTTTAAATCACAAAGCAAATATATCCATATTTTTAAAATAATTATTCACAACTTTTTACATATTAATCACTTTTAAGTCATTACAGTTTCATGTATGTTCAAGCGGAGTAGATGTTTTTTATCGTCTTTGCTGATGTCTTCGTCATGTCATCTCGCCCACTGTCCTAAAAATGACGTCATTTATGTACAGGGAAAACATGGTGCAGCATTTTCTTTTATGTCCTTGGCACAGTTCTTTCAATGCTACCCTACTAGCTTTCGATACCTAATTCCCATTTTGCTCCGAGTCAAAGACTGTCCTCTATTTGTCTGCCCCTGGGTAAGATGATCGCTTAGACATCACGGTCAAATTAACGGACAGCTAGGGATTTTTGTTAAGCGATAAACAAACGCCCGGGCTTAGCGCTTAAAGCTATGAACACTGTCGTGTCATGGCTAACTCCCGTTGACCGATAAATATCAACTTCCATTTATGCAGAGAAATAACCATTAGTTTTTGGAATATACGTTTATTTATCATTTTATTTCTCTTATTGCAAACTGATTTTTACTAAAAGATTTTTGTTTGAACGTGTCCTTGTGTTTGCTGTTTTTTTTTTTTTTTTAAATAAAGCAAAAAAAGTAAAATCCTATTTTTAATCGATGCGTACCGGATAAAAATTTTCACAATGTTAGATTTAACTTTTTTTTTTCATTGACACATCCCTTCTGATCATAGCTTTCCATAGACATCTTTTTTAATATCTGCGAATTAAAATGTTTCTTGGTAATAGGGACGGTGCAATTGTCTTGTCTCCCTCTCAAATTTATGATCAGGCCTCTACTCTGCATCATATTAATTTTCATAATGTAGTATTCATATAAAAATCTCAATAATTAACCTTATAATCGATCCTAGGCAATATAGGTAAAAAAAACTTGAAAAATTGAAAATAAATATAAATTATCTAAATAAAAATTAGAGACATGTCATAATAGATCATTCATCTTAAATAATATGAGACATGTCATAATAGATCATTCCGTCTTAAATAATTAGAGACATGTCATAATAGATTATTCCGTCTTAAATAAATCAGCAATATTTTGCGGCAATTTTTAAAATCAACTTGAGATTTTTCTTGTTAAAAACTTGAAGAATTTTAGCACATTCAACATTATGGATAAAACATAGTGAATTTTTTATAGATTTAGCTTAAGCAAAACAAATTCACGGGTTTGGATGAAAAAAAATCCCAGAATGACGTCAAAATCTGTGAATTTTTTCTACAGTGTAACCCGGATATAAGAGAGTTGTCGAAACCGGAGAAGAAGTCTCTTATATCCGGGTTTCTCTCGTATCCGGGTTTGGTCTATTTTATATACATTAACACAGGCTCTAATTTGGGACCAGGGAAAATCTCTCTTATATCCGGGTTTCTCTTATATCCGGGTCTCTTATATCCGGGTTATACTGTATTATCTTTTAATAATCAGTTATGCTTAGTTTAATTTGTAACATATCAATGTAGGTGAAAAAAAGGAAATGTTGACATGATAGAGAGGGTCACAAAGTGCTGGCTCATGTCTCCAACCAGGCTTGAAGTCATTCTCCTCTCAGGGATATTTCGCACCGGCCCTGCTTTGTAAAAATAGTCGAGTAGGTTTGACTTTCCCTCTCCACGGTTCTGAATAGATGTGTTATTCTTCGAGGCTGTCTGACAACCAAAGCCAGTAGAGATCAGTCTCTCCTACTACTCAACCTGTAGGCAGTGGGGAAGAAACGGATTCAAGGTTTTCTCAATGGTATTTCTTCGAAAGTGGACGTAACCGATTTAACAGGAATTTGAACTAGGCTCGCCGATTCCACGTTCTATCATGGTACCCTTTACTTTATTTTATAAGTGAAGCTTAGATGTGGCACAAGGCGGAAAGTAGCAGGCAAACAGTGAGGGTTGAAATCCCTATATAGTCGTAACAGGTCTAGCGAGAGAAGCTTGATTGCCATTTTCACTATATCGGAGGACCCCACCTGCCCTTTATTATGGGTTAACAAATTCTTAAATAAAAAAAGTAAATCACTCGCAGCCCATCCACAACCATTTTCGAATTCCAGCAGCTAGCAAATCCAGAATTCAATAGATATTATAGACAAGATACGTTCTCTAGTAGAATGATTTAATAATATGTATGATACACAACACGTATTATAAGTGAATCATTCTCCTTTTCTGTGCCATGTCTTTTCACAATGTGGCCATCTACATATC